CTCCTCAGCCTTATTTTCAACATCTCTTATCATTTTTTATGTCCTTCTCTTAAGTCCGTTTTATTTGTCTGTATCCTTTGAAAAATGTGTTAGCCCAAACTAAAAGCGGCTCTCTGGATGGAGCTCAGCCGAATCAAACAGTGGAAAAACTGTCTTTCTTGTATTATACATGATGCTCCAATTAACACAACCCAGCATAGCATTTGTCTTTTCTGTGACAGCATGGTCTTTTTTCCTTGTTCAGTATATTGTCCATTATTACTACTAGTCCTTTTGCTGGAGTTTTCTGATCTAACTGGTTATATCTGTAACTTTGATCTTTCTACTCTTAAGTTGTTCCACCATCTGCTTTGAGTTTCCATACAGCCACATATGCTTCCCATCTTCATACTTATTTGTATGTGGCTTTGTGTTATCTGAATCGTTGTCCTAGTGCCACCAATGTTAGCCATTGGAGTAATTTTGCCATATTATCTGTAGGATGGACTTGTTCCAGTAACTGAATACTTCCACCAGCAATACCAAAGCCCTATGAGAAGCTTATCTCCACACCATCTCAACTATTGCTACTGTGTTTGCAGGGATTAAAAAATTATATATATATACATGTAATTTCCTTGGAAAAGGAAGGTTTCCTTGTACGTAGTTAATCAATGATCTATGAAAACACCAAGGAGGCTAGAGTATAATTATGTAAAACACAATTTTTCTTACAGTATTTTGATGTGGTATCTCCTTTCATCTTAATTATAAAATCAAATATTCAGCAATCTTTCACCAACTGGAGTTTCAAAACCCCATTTCAGAAACCTGGACAGGTGATGTTCCAGAACCAGAATATGCATGTATCTGCAACACACATGGAAGGCAGACAGAAGAGAATGCAGCCACTACTGAATTCCCACCCAGTGACTTTGTAGGACTAGCTGGCATAAAAGCCTTGAGAGACTATTTTGTGTTGGAACTGCTACATTATTACTCTTCTGAAGCCCAGATTTGAGGAGCTGCAGCTCAAGGTTTAGAGGCTTCTCTTTCTTCAGCAGTAAATATAGAAGACTTCATAGCCCCAGAGTGGACCAAGGAAATATTCTTCAAATCAGATTTTTAATAGAGCAACATTTGTCAAATTTTGGGAAAACATTCAGATTCATCAAAGTGATACTTTTTTCAACATACATCATTTCATTAGGAGCTCTGTGCACACGCTCACAAAGACTCTTGAAGTACATTCATTTATCTACACACATCTGAATCTTTCTAGCTGTTTTTATGATATTCTTGATGCAGAGGAGGGCTCAAAATTTGCCTTTTCTCTTACTTAGCTTTTATTTCTCTTACTCTTTATTGTGCATGAAATAATGCTCTTTGCTTTTGCTGGACTAACAAATATTTATAATGTTTATTCATTTGCTTTACCCTTTTAACATGAATCGGAACAGTTTCTCTTACTCAGGTTTCCAGAGGTTTGTCTACCTCACTTGCTCAGAACACATTCCCAGGACCAGACAAGAGCACACTGTGCCTGCACACAACCCACACCAGGGCCTTGGGCAGTATGCCCAAAAATGCCTGGCAGGGTCCTAACCACCTACTTACATATTAATACCACCTAAGAAAGCCCCGTGTGTTGGGGCTCACAGGATGTCACATGTGCTAAAGAAGTATGTTTTCTGCCCAAACATTGCTGGGTGCAGAGGCTGGTCCAGCCCACAGGACAATCACGGGGCACCTCTCAGAGAAAGAGTTACTCCTTTTCAGAGAGGTGAAATTGCCACCATTGTCAGATTCAGGCGTTTTAGAGCGAGGAGTGAGATACCCAAAATATGAGATTTTACAATATATTAATATATGTATATACTTATACATGTTAATTTATGATATACATTTCTAATGGGACAGGATTACTAAGAGAAGAGAGAACTCTTTCTTTTTCATTTTTCTTTTCCTTTACTTTCTTCTTTCTTTTTCATTTTTCTTTTCCTTTACTTTCTTCTTTCTTTTTCTTTCTTTTCCCATATTTCCTTCTCTTTTTTTACTTTTTCAAAGGAGAAAAAGAGAAAACAAAGTCTCTCTTGCTGTATTGTCATTCTGGAAGTACAAAACAGCACTGAGGTTTCTGCAAGAAAATGTTGATAACTCCATATGGTAGAAAGTCCACGTAAACAATGACTTTGAACAGGCCACATGCTGAGACAGTGACACTAGGTTAGTGTAGCTATCCCCTCTAGCACAGCTGTAACTTATGCCAGCAATAAAAGATTTCTGATGGTGTGTTATTCCCCAATTCAAAAGAAAAAGAATTTTTATCAATAACAGTACTTTTAGATTAATATAGTTGCTTAAACATTAAAGCTTCTGCAGCGTAGCGTTTAACAGCATAGTTAAAATTAAAACCATGAATAAACACCCCACCTCAGATTGACATTATGTTATGAGCCATTCCTAATAAGGATCTAACCATTATCTTACCACTGCCTATGCCAATAACATTGCCTGTAGGAATAAAATATTTCTGTGTACAGTGGGTATTTCAGACCCGATTCTCCCAAATGAGAGTGGGACTGAAACCCAGTGTACTGACTCACCATAAAGATCTTTTCAAGTCTGAGGAAAATGTAACTCCTAGAATAAATTTCTGTACACATTTTCTTTTGGGTCAGTTAGCCAGTTACTACTGTGCAATAATCATTCAAGCGCTCTTATCTCCTGTTCTAAAAGGCTTGCTTTGACATGTTCAAACATTAGCTGCTTGTTACAGGAAGACTTACTTTCCAGGAATACAAAGATTCAGTCTTTCATCAAACTGTTCATAGCGGTACATTTACTCTCCCTGAAAAAATTGTTTCTGTTGATATAGTTCAACTACACTGAAGAAGAAGTTCAGTTCTGAGTAGATGATTAGGATGACTGACTGCAAGCCAGGGCTAAGAAATTACTAAATATTGCTGGTGTTAAGAGCACTATGTTTTCTCTATATATATTACTTCTGATTCTTTAGCCATTTTATTCCTCCTCAAAAAAAAATAGGAGCCAGGAACTATTTCAAGATGTTTCCTCCCCCCCCCCCCCCCTTTTTTTTACCCATGTTTTTACAATCTTCTATTTATCATAGAATTTTCCAGCAGCAGGAGAACCACAAAAAAGTTTTGTTCCATGATATGGGAAACAGGACCAAGATAGAAATCTCTCTCATTTTATGAACATATGAGAAAATACTCTAAAGACGTATACGAACCTCTTCATTCTCAAACACTTCCTCTGACTGATTTTAGACAGCTAAAAGTTTAAGTCATTATTGGTGTCACTTTTGGAAGTTTTGTTCTTAACGCATTAGGACTGATGAATAAGGCATGGTACCTTCCACAATATCCCAGACGGGGGATTATACAGCTGGACAAAATTATCCTTGTTATTTTGGGGGTTTAAATTATGATATATATTTTGATAAACCTTCTTGTTATAGCTGAGTAGTAGAGACATTATAGGACATAAATAGAGACATAATAGGACAAAATAATTCCATGAAAATAATGTTTTAATTTTGAACAAATATGCCTTTAGCCAGAATGTTTGTGAGATGCCTTGTGATTACTGAAAAATGGGAATAGAAGATGATTTTTGAATTCTGAAATATGATGGTTTACAACAGAAAACCTGACTTTGGGTTACTTCCACTCAGAGAAACACAACATGTGATGTGTTCTGCACCAACTGACGTAACAATATTGAATGCCAAATTTTGAATATCAAACACTCACAGTGAAGTGTTCATAAATGATACACCTTCATTCAGGGAATAATCCTGAATAATAAATCTAAGAAAATCATAAACTGCTCTTGTACAAATCACAAATAGAAAAAGGAGATGAGATTTGTCTAACAAATTATTTGGAATGAATTATGCATCCGGCAGCTACCTGAGTCCCTAATCCGTATTTTCTAAAATTTGTATGGGATGTCTCCTCTAGCGATTTTGTGATATAATTACCTAGATCAGCCATTCCCCAGCTGGATCCTCTATGGCAGCATCAGTGTGCTTATGTATTCCTGGATGAGACTGCTTTAGACACCGTTTCCTTATGCCACTTCCATATTACCTTTCTAAGCAGATTTGTCACCTGTTCTGGGAGACACGGTGGCCTCCATTTCCTTCAGTGACCTAAAATAATTAAGAGCTAAATCTCCTGTCTTCAAGTACTTTTGCATATGCTTAAATTTATGCACATGAGTAATTTCATTGATTTTAATGGGTCTATCCATTTAAGAAAAGTTATTTGAAGTTGTGGGCTTTTAAGAGATTTGTCTTCTAGTGTTACGTGATTCCTACTTTATCAGTAAATATTGCCTAGCAATGTCCAAAACATAGACTACTAATCAAAGGACCTAAGAGTTATCGATAATAAAAATCTTTAATAAAATTAACCAACTTTGCATGCATTTATATAATTATTTTCAAATACATGTGTGTGATTTAAATTGAAATATATGAAATCAGAAAAAGACTAACATGTTCAGAGTCTTCTTTTGCTTTTGAAAGGTACTTTGGGTCTGACTCCCAAAAAAACCTCAGCCCTTCATTGCAGTTTACCGAGCTGCTTGGTAGTAAATTTGACTCTGAGCATTAAGAAAAATTGTGTATTTTTTCAACCATCTATGGAAGTAACATTGACACCAGGACAAGTATAAATGAGGATGGCTGTAATGTATTTCACTGCTTGTAACCTATACAGACAGCACTGGAGTGCAGCAGTCAGCTGAAGGAGCTGATTTTTGGAAGAGGCAATTGGAAGGAAAATCTAAATGGGCTAGCTGTTAAGAACAAGAAGCTTTTGATTTAGGAAATATTAAAAGTGAGTTCCTGGATTTTATTCCTGACACACACCCAATTAATATATTTTCCAAAACCAAGACATCATATTTGCAGGATTTATTTAATATTAATGGAGGTATTAAAGGGGATAAACTACTACCTGTAAGATGCTTTTAATTTTTTTTCACAGGTCTTGTTTCAAAAATACAGAAGCTGTTTCTGACCTAATTGATCAAAAATGCTTTTCTTCTGGAAACAGTGCAAAATGTCTTCTTTTCAAGGCAAATGACTGTGGGGACTAGTGAGAGAGACAAAGAAAGGTAATATATGCTAAAAAAGTGCCAGAATTTGAGCTGGAAATAAACCTTCAGCATAACATACTTTTTGATATTGCTCATACAATCATTCAGAGCTTTTATTTCTTCATTTGGATGCATACAGCTAGTTAAAAATGTCTGTTACAAGTCTTTTCTTCCTATTTGTTTTCCGAATTTCTTGGAAAGGATATTCTTCAAAATTGTCTATGATTGAACTTTAGAAATTTCCACTTCTAGGAAACCTCACACAAAAATAAGGTTATTAATTAAATAATTTCACAAATTCAATAGAAAAATGTTCAGAATAAATTATTTTTTTTATTAAGGAATTTTGGAGAAATGTCCAGATATCTTATCCCAGAGCTACTCAAAAAGTTTATTTTTGTTCCAGCTGTAAAGTTCGTCTACTCTCTTACTATGATAATTATATACATATTTTAATCACCAGACAAATTACTAGAAAAGCCTAGGCTTATCATAAGAGAATAATTATCACCTATCTGTAAAAGTATTTAATTTGAAGAAATTTTTCAGTTAAGTAAAAAACCACAAAAATCACTACAGTGTTCTCTTACTGTACACACATATATCTTTCATAAATGGAAGGATTACCTTTCATATACTTAAATTCTAATTTAAAAAACACAAACTATTTACACATTATCTCCTTGTTCTTTAGATAAAGTACTGAACAAAAAGTACTAAGAACCCTCCCAACAGGTTGACCTTTCCCCTGTGATCTAACCTTACTTTTCTCTCTTTTCTTCTTTTTAATAACTACAGGGACACCATTTATCAGATACAAGAGGAATACCTTACATAAGGACACATAACCCAGGACTCATTTTAATATTCATGAGGTCGCTGGCTTTATTAAAGAAATTCAAGTAGGTAGTGAACACTGGATTGCATTCCTCCACGATATATCCTTTATCTGCTTGCTAAAGTGAAGCATTACTAATGCAGTTTTAGCTGCTCCTTCTTTGGAATTGAACTTCTTGGTAAACATGTAATACATGCTCTAGATTCTCCAGCATGTGTACCTACATTAACAACCACAACTATTTATAGTTGCTACCAGGGTCCTAAAGACATGAAAGTTTCCAGACCCAGCATGTTAGCTTTGCACTCACGGAAAGAAAGAAACAAAAAAATTTAGAAAGTTCTCCCCTCATGTCAAAATCTAGAGGTTCATTTCGTACATCAGATTTTTTCTCAAAACTCTCTAGGAAAGGCCAGATTCAAAAACCATGAGGCAAAAAGGAACCCCTTATAGTTTTTTTTCTGGACAAATCTTGACATTTTCCAATTGTATATCTGTACAAAACGAGAGATCATTTTAGGAAAAAAATACAATTACTACATGAAAGGAAACAACATTCAAATGTTGTTAATTAAATGAGAGAGTGGATGTCAATGTTAATGTGTAGGTACATAAAAAGAACCTTATTTTGCAGATGTATGACAGGGCTCCCTGAAGAACACAAGTTTTTCTATATTAATTCCATGGTAGTTGAAAGCTACATAATCAAAAACACCTTCTAAGTTTGGCAGAAATATAACATTGGCTGTTTAAAATAAAAGGTCTGTATGGAAAGTTCAGTTTTGTTTTGGTTTTGATTTTTTTTTTCATTCCCCTAGGGTCATTGTGGTGAAGGAAATATTTTTATCTAGGCCTCAGGAAACGGTGGTCTGGCTAGTGACTGCAGTGCTGCGGACAGTTACATGCACAGTATTCACTCAGGGCAAAGCGTGCCATCACTTATCTGCCCCTAAACTCCTGGACTACAAGAACTAATGTCAATATCCACCTGGAAATTCCTAGTAAGGAAGGACTGTGGAAGCTACTACCCTGAAACAATCCTTCAGACTCAAGCGAGGTGAGTCAGAAATGTGCAAAGCATTGGTATGGATAAGGAGAACCCTACTGAGTTAAATTTCAAACCAATATTCAATAAGAGGCCATCACACACCTCACTTATATAAATGGACTAAAGTCACAAGGAACATAGAGTTGTCTGATGGAGTCTTTGTGCTTTTCAGGTGAATACTTACAACAGAAGCAGTGTGGCATCTTGAAGTTAGGAAAAATCTGGCAGATTTTCTGAAAGTAGTTTTATGAATTTTCACTCCTGTTTTCAGGACTTTAAAGGTGTTTTTCACTTGCCCCTTCTAAGACCAGGAAGTCCATTTCCTTGCACATAAATCTGTAGCTCTGTCTGGGTTCTTCTGCTGTAATTCTGCCCATTCCGAACACCTTACAAGCTGATTAGCTTTTTCTTGGCTTCTTCAGAAAATATGGACTGAAACTGTTGACATCAGCTGTAAGGTTTAGAGTACATACAGGTCCTTAACTCCCAAAGGACATTCCAAATATAAAGTTCACTTATAACACCATTTATGAGTTTAATCAACACTCTTGTCTCTGATAACCATTCAAACACATGCAGGCAAGTATCTTTCTGTTTTCCCTTTCTCTTCTATACTGATTTCATTTAGGAAAATACTTTCTGAAGGTGTTATATTTCAGCTTTTCTTCGTTTATTTCATTTTCTAGATACTTCCCATCATGTTACAGTTTAATTTATTCTGCAATTCATTTTTTTAATTAGGCATTTTTCTATAAGAAACCCCCAGCTTCCAAGTCTAATCAACATTGCTCTATCTTTCACCTTATGCGTCATAAAAAATGACAAAATGCACTCTATTTTCTCTTTCTGTTGGTGGCTATCCTCTGTCTTTACTTATAGATGTAGCCTTGTTTTCATTTTTTATTAACTTTGCTAGATGTTAGCACTCATCTCTTAGATAGTCATACATATTTGAAAATACTATAGGAATCTCAGAGGAAAATCTTACAGCTGGTCAGCAATAAATTTTTTAGATGTGTGAGGGACATGGAGAGAGAGGAGAAATACAGTTATAAGATTACAGCTGATACCAGGCATAATTTTTACAACTGGTCAGTACATTGAATTATTAATCCCATGCAAAGCCTCTTAAAACCAATAAGAGCAGATGATAAAACAGGCTATATTCTGGTTTACCTCTTTATTTGCCAAACCAAGACTTCCCACTAAAAACGGACTAATGTCTGGCAAATTGCCTGGTTATCAACGTGTGATGTCTAGCTGGTGGTATGGGGAGCTGAGCTTTCACTGTTGTTGTGAAGGATTAGCAGCAACTTTGGTAGCACTAGTGGTAGACCACCAAGAGTCTGAGAATCAGACTATTTTTTTACATTCACTTTACCTTGGACTTCATTTTACTTTCTTCAAACACTTCAGACAAATCTACTCAGTAGTATCCAACAATGATTCCAGGGAGATAATCTTGTTTTGTATACACTGAAAAAATTCTGGCAGTCTTTCCTTTGAAGCGCTCCAAGTCTTCTGTGCCTGAGAGCAAAGGCTTGAAATTTTAAAAGGACTCATAACATTGATATAAATCCAAACCCATTTTAACTTGGACAAGTAAGGAACTTTTGGGAAAACATTTTCAACAGAGGTTTCACAGTATCACAGACTCATGTAGGTTGAAAGGGTCTTCAGGACGTGTGTCTAGTCCAACCTTCTGCTAAGAACAAGGTCAACATTGAATTCACAAGCCAGGTTGTCAGGTCTTGAAAACCTCCAGGGGCAGATTCCACAGCGTCTCTGGGCAACCTACGCTAGTGCTTTATTTTCCTCACACTTAAAAAGTTTTTCCTTATATAGAGTCAGAATCTCCACCATTCTGGTTAAATCTATTATCTCTTGATCTCTTGCCATGCACCTCTGTGATAGACTTACCTCTGCCATCTTAGTAGCCTATTCATAAGTGGCTCTGAGGTCCCCCTGCAGTAACCTCTTCAGACTGAAAGAAACCCAACTGCTAAAGATATTCTTTACAGGAAATGTGCTGTAGCCCCTGGATTATACTTATTTTTGTCTTGCGTGCATTGGATTCCCAAAGTCAAACACAATATCTGGATCTGACCAAGTATAGGAGAATAATCATTGCCTCAAAATACCACTAACACAATTAATACAGAACCACAGAAGAACCCTGTCTGGAAGGGTCCAACCTTTCATTTTGTTAAAGAGCCCAAAACACCATTAGGTTTCATAACTACCAGGGCACATGAACTGTTGGTTCATGTTTAGGCTACTTCCGCCCAGATCCTTAAAAAAACTGCTCTCCAGACAGTCAGTCCCAAACCTGCAGGGAGTTAGCCCACACACACACATGCACACCTATCCCACTGAACAGTGAACTGGGGTGGGTATTTAGGAAGCAAGCAGGAAGCCTTTACCCTCTGAGATAGGGAGCCAGGCAAAGGGCATAGCCAGTAAAACCAGCACAGAAAAGGCACACAAATCAATCAGATGGAGATCTTCATGGGCAGAAGAGAGATCAGGACAGTTTAAGGGTGTCTAAGCCCAAATAAAAATTCTGAGATTGTTACTGTGAACAGGGAATTGACAGAGGATTTCGTAACTGAGTGAAAATGGAGTCAAGTTAAAGGACCACTTGTGAGGAAGACATTGAACTGAGAAGGCTATGGCAGCTTGGAAGTTAGAGAGAGAGGGGATAAAGGTATGGGAAAATGCCAGGTGACATCCATAAAAACAAATAATATGTGAATACATAATCAAATACAAAACATTATTCATATTTAATAGGCAATTTTTTCTGAGTTCTTGGCTATGTCATTACAGCTTTTGGTTGTGCCTAATGTGTATCATTAAAGTCCATTTTTTATTTGCATCTTATCATATACTAAGTGGATGATTTTAAATTCCAAATAATACTAAGAGTAGCCTATTTCTTCACCTTAGTTTTATTGAAAAATAATGCAATATCAGCAGAGCTCTCTGACGGAAACTCAAAATCTCAAAGGCTGTTCAGCCTTTGGCCTTCTTTTTAAAACTGAGATTTTCTTTTGAAGGAAATTAAGTTTCTTACCTTTCAATTCCCTCCTCCTGGAATCAGGAGTCATATGCTCCGGCTTCTTGAAGAGCAAAATTTGTTTAGACCATTCACAAAGGTTACTATTTTATGCACATGAGTAATGCAACCTCTGTAAGTTGAATGTGATGTTATGTCTAGAAATGTTATGCATAAGATTTATCTTCAAAGATGTGTCTGAACTTAACTTATGCATATCTTTGCACTTAAATTTGATTTGATAACTTGTCAAACATATCCAATTTGTTTGTGTTTTTCTGTTCTCTTCTTCATATTGGGAAGTACTTTTTACTAACTTGACATTGGTAAAACGAGTATTAAGTTTATTAGCACCATCCACAGTTCTGTGACAAGAGAGAAAACAAAAGGCTGAGAGAGGAAGTAAGAGAAAAGAAAGGGAAGGGATAGTTTGGGGAGGTTTGGGAAGGGAAGATTTGGGAAGGTTTGGGAAGGTTTGGGAAGGGAAGGGGAGGGGAGGGAAAGGGAAAGGGAAAGGGAAAGGGAAAGGGAAAGGGAAAGGGAAGGGAAGGGAAGGGAAGGGAAGGGAAGGGAAGGGAAGGGAAGGGAAGGGAAGGGAAGGGAAGGGAAGGGAAGGGAAGGGAAGGGAAGGGAAGGGAAGGGAAGGGAAGGGAAGGGAAGGGAAGGAAAGGGAAGGGAAGGGAAGGGAAGGGAAGGGAAGGGAAGGGAAGGGATGAAAATATGATCATAAGCCTATGAAAGTGTGTGGGGTCTTAGATTACAAAGAGCTGTAAAATACAGTAGCAAAATAAAGAATAAGCATACACCATAATTCAGCTTTCCTTGAAGACCGTGTAATCAGTCTGGATGTCGAGATGTCAGGTTATTGATTCCAAACTAACTTTATTTTTAAAAATGTCATGTGCTTTTTTGAAACATTAACTTGCTATCATTGCATGTAAACTGTATATACTTCTGTTAAAATTGTGCCACTTTGACACCTTGCAGAACATGTAATTTCACTACTTCATGCTCCCAATCTCCCCTGACTGGTTCTGGCTGCTTAACTGGGTTCATCTCTTATGATTTGTCATTACCATAAGGATCCCAAGCAGCACCACCAGGATCACCAATGGCAGGGACAAGAATGAATCCTGGAGTATGTAGTCCAGGCAGAGACTATCCTACAGTGAAGATTGCAAGCCTGAAGTACTGACCTGTCATTACCATGAAGCCTTATGTCAGTATTTCTACAGGGAATTATTTTCTTTCTCAACTGAAGTATTTTGAGGGTTGATTTCTTTTAATCAAAACGTCAACATTTGACACGTATAATGTCAATTTTCCAGCCATTCTACAGTAAATTGGACCAGATACAAATGTATGTGTATCTCTATTTCTCCATACTAGCTGTTTTTTTCAATGAGAAATTATGGAAAAAAGTGAAGATGTGTCAGAATCTATAGGCTCTAATAGTGGGATTCATCCACAAACTACAAAAATCTATAACCGAGACATCTACATCTGAGGTTGTCACTCTGGACTCTTTTCATAATCAATGGAGAAAAATAGGCACTTCAGGGTGCGATTCATCTTATCCTGAAGTAGATGGCTAAAACAGGTCAGCTGAATCATGTTTTAAAAGCACCTCTTATTCTCCATTGGCATTAGAGGGAATCTATGGTGACAACTTCAGACACCGACAGCTCAAGTTAAATAAAATTACTTATGTCTTAAGAGTCCATAGAATTGTTGTGCATAGACTTGTCCTTTTGCTCCATAATTTCACCTGTTCATTTTATTTGTTTCCAAACATGCAATGAGTTTTTCTTTTCCTTCCTGTTAAAGCAATCTTTCTAACTTTTATTTTTTCCAACCTACATTACCTTGCATATCCTTTTTCTATTCCTCTCATCATCATAAAATCAGGCTTTAAAACAGCAATTTTAAGCCAGTATCTGAGATAA